CCAGCCATTTTGCAAACCAAGTTGATCAAGGCCACAACCAAAGCAGAGCTGTTTGTCTCTTCAGATACCTCAAGAAGTGCAAGGAGTTCAAACAGATACCTTTCCTGGGATTACTGTCCTCTAGGGACTAAACTATCATGTGGAAATACAAGTAGACGATCTAAGAATAAAGCAGAAGATCCAAGTAAAGAAACAAGTAGAATACCTAGGTAAAGAATCCAATAGGATACTCTGAATTTGCATCTTAAACATTTCTTTCCACGCCATGCTGTAGAAACACACTGGAAGCAGACTTGGCAAATACCATCCATATGTTCCACAAAATGACTGAGGGAGCACAATGTGAACATTACTCCTGGACTGGATCAAGAGAATCCATTAAAAAAAAATGCATAAGAGGAATACACATGTACATGAACTCAATGTTTGCTTATTGTGGAATTAAAGAACATATACCTGTAATTATGGCTTACCCCCATTACAAGCAGAGCTGCCACAGAACTGAACACAGGCCAGCTTTGTGCAGGAGTTCAAAGCCAGTGTGATGCTGCCTTATTTTCCTACTAACATCATCTTTATCCTCTCTTGCCCTTCTTCTCAGTTAACAAGAGTTATGTACTGAAAGTGCTGAGATAAAGTAATGGTAAGGAGGATACCGCAAAAGGTATTTGAAAAGCAGAAGTAATTTACTACATGTCTGCTTTGTTTTACTTCCTAAGCCTTCCTGTTGTGAAAGGAAATTCATCTTTTCTGGCAGACTCCAGCCTTTTTAGGTCGGAGAGCTCCCCAGGAGCTTTCGAGTGCAGGTAAATGGATGTAAGACTCAAGGAGTACAGCACAAGGAAGATGGGATTAATGCTGGGGTTTGCTTTGGCTGTCACAGCTGACGTACAAGGAGAGTGCTGCACCCTCGATCGCAGGAAATATCTGTAAAATAAACCAAGCTGAGTCCTTTGCTCATCCCTGCCAGCCCGATGTGCCACGAATGGAGAGGTCGTGCTGCTGGTGGGCGAAGCGTGCAGGATCTCCAGCCAGGTGGGTGAAGCACGGAGGATTACACCCAGCAAAGTCTCCACGTGAGACAGACATCAGGGTGCCTCAGCAGAGCAAGTGAAAGCTCAGAGGGAGGGCTGTGGATGGACAGTAGGTGCAGCCTGTATCCTGCACACAGGAGTAGGCACAGGGGAAGCATCCACTGCCTAATCTAAATAGCACACAGAGTGGTTTTGTCCTCTTCTGTTCTCCGGCCAGTTTGCACATATGTTCTGAGCATACAGCCTGCCCTCCAAAGACCACTTACAGGGGCAATCACAGGGAAGCAAAGCAGGAAGAAAAGTATCCAAAAAGGGAATTTGTTCAAGAGAAAAGAATGGAGACAGATGTAGAGCGACTAGTCACGGCTGGCGGTAAATAACCCTCTGCCTGGAGTGCTCTCTTTCTCTAAGAGGAGTTCACATATTCCATTTCGTATTTCCTTTCTAGGAAGTCAAATCTTTCTTTTCCTGGCATTTGTTCTTTTCCCCTTCTGTATGGTCTAAAGCTTCTCTTCTCCTTTTCCCTTTCTCTTCTACGTTTTGCTCTCTTTGAAGTTCATTTCTTCCATCTCCTTCTCGCACAGCCCTGATTTCCCTGCACTGTCCCAGGCCACACCTTTCACTACCACCCTCTCCCAGTGCCTGTGCCACGAGCACGTGTGTGCTTCACACCTGCTCCAGGGTTTGAGTCTCCCCTCTTTCTCATGTGCACACCTCAAAATGAAGCAGATGCAACACACAGAGATGGAATATTCATCCTCTCACTCCCATAAACCTGTCAAGGCATATAGGCCAAGAAGCTATCTCTGCATAAATCTAAATCTCCTGTGAGGAAGCAATCTACTCAAAGGCAATAAAGGCAAAGGATGTATTATTATCTTTGGTGTGGATCCTACTGGGCTGGGAGGTTGGCTGCTGGCTCCTCTCTGAACTTTCCTTCCCAGCCAGAGCAGCCATCCCACAGACAAGTCTAAGCTTCCTTTCCTTGGTCTGATTTCCTCCTCCTGTTGTTTGGCCAGTAACCCAAAGGATAGGGTTTAATTATGGAGTTTGGAAACCTGGCTTGCACTACTCTGCCAGCACGGGATAAAACCTCAGCCTGTCTTCTGAAACAGCACCATTCTGCTCTGCTGATACCTGTGTTATCCCACACAGCTCAAATGAGCTGCAGGGAAGAAATGCCAAGTTAAACAAAAAGATGGGTTTAGTCTTTAAACTTCTACTGCAAATTTCACCGAGAAAAAAAGAAAACACCAAAGCTCAGAGATTACTGTATGCTAAAAACTGTGCCACCATTTTGATTGTAGATTAAATAAATGGCAAGGCCTTTCTCTGGAAATAAAGACATCGGAAAGGATGGATCTGAAACTGGTCCAGGCTCCAAAGCTCCCTCTCTGAGAGGAATGCTGTGGAAAGCCCCCACCTAAATTGGGATGTTAGCATCACTTGCACAGCTTTCAGGTGACCAAATTATTTCCTAGGCAGATGCCCCACTAAAGACTCCTCAAGCATTTTACACTTGTTGAGGTGGAACCCCCGTGTCAGACACAAAAGGCTTCACATTAGTGTCACAGCCAGGGGTGATGTCTGTGCAGAGACCACAGCAGGAGTGTCCCTCGGGGGAGCACCTCGGGCCAGTGACACACCACTGCTGCCCTGGCAGGGAAGGACACTCAGCACTGCTTTGTCCTTCACCACTGATGAGCTGTGGCTCTTCAGGTAATCCTCTGTCAGCCGTGCTCTTGCAGTGACCCTGTTTTACAGAGAAGCTGAGGCAATGAATTCAGAGGACAGGCTGCTGGAAAGCCATGGCAGAAGCACTGGGGTGGGGCTGTGTGGATACAGCACAAGGATGGCTTGGAAGTGCATCCCACGTGGGCAGGATAAAGAAAGCTCTTTTTCTTCACAGCTGTGACAGTGATAGATGGCTTGGTGAATGTGAGCTATATCTAGTTGGTACCTGGCTACAGTCCCTGATGCTGCAAGGTGATTTTCTGCCATTTTACAGGCAAGGCTAAGCAGAATCTGGGATTTTTCTATAATAAGTGAGGAAGGTCATGAGGAAGGAAGAACCTTCTCTTGTCTGACTTGTTCTTGCCTTTCTGAGCACCTCGGGAAGTTTGACACAGGCAGCTGTGCTTCCTCACGATGGGCACCCAGTGGTGCCAAGAGCAGCAGAGGTGCTTTGGAGGTGTAAGGCTTTGGGTACTTCCCTTGCCCAGCTCAGCAGCTCAGTGCCACCATCAAGCCAGGGCTTGGATGAGCCAGAAGTAATGACCACACGTGGGGAAAACCACATGAATAATGTTAGAATTAATAGCCAACCTCTGGCCGCTGCACAAATGGAGAACATTTGTCATTAACAATGAGCACCCCAAACTTTGGGGGGAGCTGTCCCCCAGCCTGGCAGTGATGCAGAAGCAGTGACCCCATCACTTTTCAGCCATCTGTGTCTGCAGAGCAGGCTGGGATCCCTCCCTTCAAGCCCAGCTTTTGTCTGCGTTTCTGCCGGCCGGTGAGCAGAGGTTTAGCGCAAGGTGAAGCTCTGCCTTGCATCATCTGGAGCCTGGAGCTGATGGAGGGGACAGCCCCTGGTGCCTGGGAGCAGGACACCTCGGAGCAAACACCAGAGCCCTGGGGACAGCGGTGGCAAGGCAGTCACGGGGAGCCTGGCACTTGTCTGCCTGCAGGTCCACCCTCTCCTCCTGCCAAAGTGCCACATCTGCAGTCAATAAGGGCCCACAAGCTGGCTCCTCCTCATTAGAGGAGAGAGGGCAGCTGGCAGGGGATCCTCCAAGGGCTCCCAGGCACAGGAATCAGTCTCCTCCCAGTCTGGAATAGCCCAAATTTGGTGACTTTCTGGGCATGCTGTAAAGGACAGCTGTTTGACAGGGTCTCCAGAGAAAGCTGTGGGTATGTTTCCTACATGATGAAGGATATAGGTGGCTGGCCAAGTGCCCACAGAACTGATTTTAATGCTGCACAGGTCGAATTTACTTTTCTGTGCTGTATAGTTCATTATACATAGTGCCCTGGACAAGCATGTGTTTTTTCCAAACAAACCCAACCCATACTATTTTAAATCCAGACGAACAAGAAAGACAAAAAATACGCATTGCAAAAGATCCTTTGCACTTTTACAGGACCTTTCAAAACCCTGGGAGGCACTGCTTGCCTTCCTCTAACAAGTAAAATTTCTGTTATTTTTATTGGCAATAAATACTTGATTATTTAGCTGTAAGCAACACTGAAGCATTAACTTCACCTGTGCACATAGCACTGACCCACAAAAAAATATTTCCAATAGTATTAAGCACCCAGATGATCTCAGTATAAGTGATCAATGGACAGTTAAGTATGTAACATAACATAACCCAAAAAAATGATCAACAGGAAAGATCACACACAAAAATTAACTGAAAGAGGCCAAAGAGCTTCCTCAATGTTCTGAAGTGTAACAGGCAGTGATATCTATTTTGATATGAAGCCTCCAATCACACTTCACAGCATTACAGATTAATAAAACAACTCCTTCTGTAAGTCTCTTAAAAGTCATTACTAAGTGATCTCAAGTGTTGCATAATGCTTGAAAAGTCCTTCTACCTTATATAAGTTTAGGGATATTTATTTAAGCAGCATAACTGATGGAGCACAGCCCAGACAGGTACTGATTTTTGCTAGAAAAAGCTATCCCAGAACTGAATCTGGACAATTTGACAGAAAAAGACCGCCTATCTTCTGCTGCATTATTTAAATACTTCAGATATTTGGCCAAAACACAGGAGTGACACACTACAGAAACATTCACAGCTGCAGGAGCAATAAAACCACTGCCATATTTTCATGAGGCCGTTTCTCGGAAGTGACGAGACGTCTAGAACTGGTCACCTCTCTAGCACAGCAATTCTGATAACCAAACAGAGCAAGTGGAGATGATGTTCTGGGGCTCTGGGAGCCGGGGCTTACCTGGCTCCACTTCATGCCATCCGCTGGACTGGCTGCCGCTGCCCGGAGAGCGCCCTTGGCTTGTGTAGAACGGCTCCTCCCCAGGGCTGTCCATCTCATCCTCCACAGACTTGAGACGCTTTGTGGAGCTGAGCATGCAAAAAAACCCATAATGAAGGCATGGAAGAGGAACCAAGGCACTGCTGTTGGGACGTGCTGGAGAATAACTCAAGGTGGGACAGATTTGGGGCGCTTTGGTGAGGCTACAAAACAACGTTTCACAGGCCAAACCCCTAAACACCCACCAGTTTGGCCAGAAGTTAGTCTGATATTTAGGCTTTCACAGATTCAGACTAGGACATTTTCAAAGCAGAGGTCAATAAAAAGGCAAGAATTTCAACTGCATTTCATGGTTCTTGCAGTTTGAATGAATATGGTGATGACACTCGAGACTTATTTTCACCGCCAGATTTTTTCATGGCTAATTCTGAAAGCAAATTGTTTATCAGCTCAAACTTTTATTTTCAATCTTTTCAATTAGCTCAGTCCCATAAGAAGGAACACAGGCAAGTGAATGATGGAAGAATCCATTCTTGGTTCAATGTTCCTGTTATCCTACAATAAGAAGCATTTGACTCTGCAGCTGTGCCAGCAAGCACAGAAAGCCCCCAATGGGTATCTCTGGCCAGTGTCAGCATTAAAGAATCCCCCTGTGATACATCACACCTCCCTCACCAGAGGCTCAGGACACAGAAGAGCCCTTTGAGTGGTCTCTGGTGGCCGCTGGCTCCAGCAGTTCTGCAGGGAGAGGATCCCAGAGCCAAAGACACTCCAGCTTGGCTCTGTTTTCCATAATGAGTTGTACAGACTGTGTGGGGACCTTACTGAGAAATTCTCTTCTAAGTACTTTTCCAAGGCTGGGCCAGCTCATTTTTTTTTCTCCCCCAAATCTGTATTCTATTAAGACTTAAGGCATTCAAGAACAGGCTCCTCTGTGTAGGGGGAACAGATTTAACAGACATAAAATCTTCTACTCTTGGTTTAGAGCTCGCAGCCTCCCCACCCCAAGCTCTGCACAGGTAGGAGCTGGCGGGCGTGCAAAACCAGTTGGTGAGAAACAGGAAGAATAAGTCTTATGGCATGTGTGGAATGCAGGTTTGGCCATTCCTTAATTTAGAGAATTGTTATGTGTCAATAGGGGAAATTGTGTGCATACAATATAATTACCGCCTGATAATTCTGCTGAGTCTGTGTATTTAAAGAATTTTTTTTTTTCCTGACTGGGAACAGCCTAATGAGAGGAAAACAAACATATTACCAAGTTATTAACTACCCATGCTGTTTATAATTAGCTCCTTATCAGTGGTAGCTATTTGCAGAAGAATAGAAGAGCAACAACTGAGCTCTTAAGAAACATTAATAACCTCACTTTTGCTTCTGGAGTCACCAGGAAATTCTACCTGAGAATGGTGCTAATGATGAGTGCTGTAGGCTACACAGTTTACAGGCAAGAAAGAAACAGCACAAAGTTTTTAATTGATGTGTAATGGGAATTGTAGTCACTGAGCTTCATAATGTGCACGCTAAGTGCAAGACAGAATGTTCTTCCAATCACTGCAAACTGTAAGAAGTTACTGCTAAGAGCCTCTCGTTAAAGATTATTATTTTTAAAATAAAAACAACAGCTATATTCAAACGACAGAGATTTTTCACACGTGCACTTGCTCACTGCAAAGCTGGTGGCACTGCAGGCTGAGATAAAAATGTAAAAGAGCGTTAGGCAGGAGTTAGACTTTCTTGTCATGTCTTTAAAATAAGTGATCTATTTTGGCTGTGGGGGAAAAAAATCAATCTGGTTCCTTAATAGTGTTCAAGACTACTCGAGTGACTGAGCTTGTTTATAAATCTAATCTCATGGATGATTAAAGGTAAAAAATAAAAAATATCCTTGTTTGATAGTTGGCATCTAAGTCGAAATCAAAATCAGATGGGGCAGTCATCTGCATTAGCAATTTGGTTTTCCAAAGGCTGAGTCACAAACTTCTAAATGCTTTACAAAAACTAAATGCTTTATAGACTAAGATCCAAAAACAGTCTTAGTCTCACAGGTAACACTTTTTACAATAAAGAATACATGTAAGTCTATCTTAAGACTTTCCTTGCATCTTATTATGCTCCAAGTTCTCTTCTGCCAGAAGCTGAAACTCAACAATTCCAGTGGAACTTCTCCTGCTACACCCAGATACAACCAGAGGCTACACAAGTCCATGCAGCAGTTTTTCTTAGAGGCTTGTACACACAAAAAGAACTTCCCTGCAATCCAGCTGAACATTCAGCTCTCTGAATCTGAAGCAGCTCCACATCGTGAGGCCCCCAAACAGCTTGTCAGAGAATTTAATGGTTACTTCCCCAGATGAGTAATGATGCTGGCCTGAGTTTCCAAGGAACCTGGTAGTAGGCAGAGATTAAATTACCTGGTAGAGGATGTGCTAGGTAAAGACCTCCTCATTGCTCCTGGGCTCATGCTGTAGTACGAAGAACTTTCCAAATCTGAGAGGGAGAAATTAGGGCCTGTTCCTGCAGCTATCGGTGCTGGGGAAACAAAAGAGATTGCAGTCAGTAAGTCATGTGAATATGGCATGAATTGCACTTCAAAATCACTTTCTTCTTTCTCATGGGTGTGTTTAGTTTCACGATGGGAACAGGTGGGATGTGGAAATTAGGAAATGCTAATGGTACCTGGCATTGCAATCAAGAAGATGGAAATTTTATCAAGAATACAATGTTCCGTGACATAGAATCTCTCTAACATTCCTCCAAAGATGTTATTATTATTTTTTAAAATTAAACAATTATGGCATGACTTTCTCTAAGCACTGATTTTCTATTAATGTCATTCTAACATTTAATGAAACCTGGTGCTTTTAGGACCATGTTGTCTCTATTGGCATGGTTACAGATAGGCTGCATCATCCCTGTAGAGTGCCTGGCAGGATCTATAAGCAGCATAGGCAGGGAAATACACACCTCAGAACCTCTGGGGTACGTGTGATATACAGCCACAGGCACAGAGGTTAAAAAAGCAGATGAGAAACGTGAATTCTTTTCTGACTAAGAGCATCTGAGCTTTCCTCTGGCCTCTTTTCCAGCTAAATCAAAGCTAAATCAGAACTAGAGACACACGACTCCCCAAAAGTTTTATCTAGCGGTGACCTTCCACTCTTCACCTCATCACCTTACCCAGTACTGAAATTTTGATTGCAGGGGATACGAATCCCTGCAATTTCCTTGTCCTGTATATTTGGTTTCACATTAAACGTCACGGATTCCTACACACCCTGACAACTGCAGGCACAAGCCATGAACTCCATGTGCTGTACTCTTCTGGGAGCAGACAAGGAACAGAGCAGCTTAACGTTGAAGTCAGCAGAGAAAGGATTTCTTGCCGAAATGCCACTAATACAGCAAATGGCACCGTGTCTACTGTGGCTGTTCCAGTGCTATTTACAGGACAATACAACTTCGGGGGCTGGCAATCACAGATCCTGAGTTTCTCTCCCATTTCAGAGCCCTCTGAAAAAGGACGTCCTGCACAATGAAATGCACCAGCTTGGCCTGGGCTGTATTGTCTGAGAGCCCTGATTCGCAGCCACAAAGGCGAAGCAGTCTCAGTGCCACACAGGGATGCTGAGCCAAGTTTAATCTTTGGTCTGAGAATCTGGCCCATTTTCAAACATGAAAAAATCTTTCAGTCCAACGGGGAAGGAGTGAGGAAATGAAGACAGGATAGCTCCTATCACCCAGCTAACATGTCTGGGCTGGGAGTGCTGCCACTGACTGTAACGGGGCCAGTGTTTCACCCCAAGTCTTAAGGAGCTCACAATGTCAGATTTGACAGAGGAATAATGTAGCTTTGCAGCTGCCTCATCATCCCCACAAGACAATTAGTTGTTGTTTGGCAAGGATCTTTTAAGAACGTCATTGAGACAGAAAGGGAACAGCCTGGATAGCCACGGACTTTTAAAAGCCGGGGACGGAAAATGCACAACGCCATTAAAACTTGACAAAATCTGGATTGGTCATTAAAAGGAATTAAGTTGGGAAGTAATTTATGACAAGAACACTCAAATCCTTTGTTATCTTCTCTTAACTATCATATGCTTCCTGCACACTGGGTATATGAGAGGGTGTGTTAACAGAGGGAAAGAAAAATTAAGCACAGTAAAATTAACTCGTTTTATCAATTTGTGCTTTCTGCAACAGTTTCCTGACAGCAGCTACAAGAGGCTGTAAAACTGATGAATTTGCATGGAAAAAGAAACCGGTGTAAGTAATTTGTGTAAAAGGTAACAGGGACATGGACTGCTATAATTCAGACACCCTGCAGATAGCAGACTGCTGCAGTGTGTGCAGTTATGGGTTAGAAAAATGACCACACTGCAGTCAGTCTGACTTGAATGGAAATCAATCATAAAGGTACTCTCTGCAGCATCTACTCCACAGTTTTCAGCAACTTCCTTGCCAAACAGATTTGTGCTCTGCAAACCCTTTCCTGAGCGACTCCTCTGCACTCTCTGCCTCCCCATCTTACAGGTTAAGCACACAGTTTTCCAAACAGGAACATAAAAAGGCAAGCACTGAATTAAAGCACTGTTTCTTTCCGAGGCACAATGAACTTCCTGGACATTGCCAGATTTATGAAACAGTTTTATTCCACAGAGATAAGAAAGAAAAACTGGTATGTGGCAACACTTCCCTTCTTTCTTTCCCCCTGCCCTTTTTATTGCCCTTTCCCCAGATCCTGGATATTTCTTGAGTTAGCCCTATAGAAAAAAGGAATGTGTGTTCAGAGCAGGGGTAGGGTAGGAACAAGGTATTGCTGATGCTGTGTGAACTCAGTGCAAAGCAGAAAAGGCTGATTCCACTGGGGCTGCTGCCTGGGTAGCAAACACTTAGGGTGCTCTGCTGGTCACTGGCCAAAACCACCTCACCACAGTCAAATGCCAGTTTGAAACCAGAGGGTTAAAGAACAAAAATCACCTCTAATAGACACCAGCAGAGGTTCAAGTGCCTGGCTGGGCTGTGGGAGCCAGCACCTGAACCCTGTGGCAGTCCTTGCACAGGAGCCACCACCCTGCCACCATCAGCTCAAGGTCTCTGGCCACAGAAGTGCTGTGGCACAGGCTGCACAGGGCTAAGCTGCTCCAAAATCTTTGCTCCTGCCTTTCTGACAGTGTCTCTCTTCCACCAAAGCCCATTTGTACCTTTGCTTGCAGTTATTGCATTCGCTGCCATAAATCACAACAGGGTGCTGGAGCTGTGGCTGCCCCATCCCTGGGAGTGTCCAAGGCCAGGCTGGAGCAGCCTGGGACAGTGGCAGGTTTCCCTGCAGGAATGAGATGAGCTTTAAGGTCCCTTCCAACCCAAACCATCCTGGGATAGATGCAAAGGGACGAAGTGGTGCAAACTGTGGCAAAACTCTTGTCTAAACTAAAAAACCCTGTCTAAACTAAAAAACCCTGTCTAAACTGAAAAAACACTGTCTAAACCAAACCTGTTCCTTGCAGCATGTGGCAATCCACCACAAAACCTCCCTACCCCTGTTCCTACTCCCCAGGAACACGCTCCAGCCCCACATGGAGCAGAGTGGTGGGAGCTGCAGCCTCACAAACTCCAGGCAACGACATCTAAACCACACCATTACCCCTGTAAGAAATGCTCTGCAGCAAAGTGACCTCCTGACAGCTCAGGAACATCCCCCAAATGGGAAAGGATGTCAGAAACTGCAACTGTGACTCAAAGCAAGAATCTCAAGATGCTGCCTGACCCAGGGCTGTGAGCTGGAAGGGGTTGAGAGGGAAGGATCCCTCTTGCCCCACCCCAATCCTGGAGCCCCTATTTCAGCTGCTGGCATCACAAAAATTCCCTGTGCAGTTGGGACACCCTCAGAGGGGCAAGAGGAGCTGGTTTGCCCAAACAGGAGGAGGAGGAAGGGTGGTGCCTCTGCCTGACACTTTTCTACTCCTGGGATGCAGGGCAGCATCACCCTGCTCCCACAGCCTGCTCCCTTCCAGCTCAGCTCCTCATCCGAAATGTCAAGAAAAATAATGAAGAAATTAAGAAAAAGCCCTCTTACTTAACCCAACTGCAATATTTATTTTGAAAAAATTACTGAATTACAGAACAGGAAACACACTAAATAAAACCAGCCAGGCTGGCATTTGTCTCCTTTGGAATATGGCACTTTCTTTAAGCCACGTTAATATTTAGCCTCTCTTTTTTTTCCCCCATTTGTATGTATTTATTTTTACAGAGGTCCTGGGATGTGACTAAGATCATTACATGTGTAACACTGCAGTGAAGTGATAATGTGTTTAAGGTTAAATGGGAGAAACATGACATTTGACTAATAAACTTTTTCCTGTGTTGTGACTCCATAAACAAAGGGAAACACACTGTGCTGCTGCTGCTGCTGGGAGGAAAGGGGAGCTGGATTTTTTTTTTTTTTTTTTTGCAAGGCCTTTGTTTGCTCCACACTGTATCATTAGATTCAAAGAGGTTCCACCGAATACAACAGATATGAAATGTGTGATGTTCATTTTAAAATTACAAGTACAGCCTGCTATTGACCATCTAATTATGCTGAGTTCCATTTATAAACATAGCTAACCACTAAGTTTATAGAGACTTTTTGTGCTGCTTTAATAGGATATTGATCGAGAGCAAGGTTTGAGTGGACTGCCATTGAATTGTGTAATGGCATACAAAAGGCAAGGTCACGGCAACTGTTCACTCTATGCCTGCAGTCTATTTTTTATTATAATCTTTTTTTCTCCCTCTCATACCCAAGCCCACACAGAGAGTTTTGGATAGCAGTGCTTTCCTAAGGAATATAGAGTATCTTTTAAAATGTTAATTTTCATGCTGCTGACTTTAACTGCCTTCACTAGTGTAGTGCTTAGTATAGCAGAAAACACACAGGCTGCAGCTCAGGGAGAGCAGGTTTAGCACTCCCCAGCTGCACACACGTGTCTGTGAGGAGGAGAAAAGCCTCTCCCGGGCTACAAAAAGGCCTCCACTGCCCAGCCCAGCCCCTCCACAAGTGCCAGGGCACCCCACGCCTTGCCAGGACATGCTGGGATTCTCTTTCCCTGTGGGAAAAGCTGGATGAGAGGGATGAGGAGGCTGTGTTTCCATTCTGGAGTGCTGGCAGTGCCTCTCCATCCCTGCCCTTGCCCTCATGGCAAGGACCCTTCAGCCCCTTTCTGCATCCCCAAAGCTCCATCCCCAAGCCTGGCACTCGCTGCATCAGTGTGGATGCAGGATCCTGAGCTTCCCCAAATGTCCTGTCCACACCCATGGCATTAGTCTGAGTGTTTCAGGGATAATTAGCTGGACCATTGCTGTGTGTGCACAGGAGCAGTGAGCAAGTGTGTGTGCCTGTGGTGCCACAGGCTCAGCAGAAGGATTAGAAGTCCCCCCCAGTGCTCCTCACTGCACACAGCACACGTTGAACCCAACGTGTGGCATTTTCAGGCCAGGGTGCAGTCAGAATTCCCTTGTTTATCAGCACGAAGAATGATGTCATTTTGACAAATAACACACCACCAAACAAATATGTTTGATTTGGCTCTAGCCGATGTTCATAAATCCTAAATCTTTCTTCACATCCTGGGCAGTGCAGTTTATCTGGCTGCTTGAATGACCTCTGAGGGAGGAGATCTTCCCAGCAGCTCTCCTTGCACATGGTGCAGACTCAAAGCCAAGGGGGGGATGCATTCCCTGTGCCTTTCTCCCTTGCCCTTGCCAAGGGAAGGGGACACTTGGCACCAGAGCCCTGCAGCACCTTCTGCAGAGGGTCTCCTCCATGCCCTGAGATGGCTGCCCACAGCCAGTGGAATATTTTCCTGACAAGGGGAGAAAAGGAGGAGGTTTCACTTGGCCAACAGCTGGCTGTCAGCTCCCAAACCCGTCCATCCCCGACTCCTCTGCCTCTGAGCCTTTTGTTGTCAGCACAGAGCTCTCCAGAGAGGGAAGAATGAAGCCTCTGTTATCTGGATGGGTCTCCCCAGTATCTGGGGTGACAGACAACACTCAGAGAGGAGCTCACACCCTCTGCCTGCTAATAATGGAGGAGAACTGACAGCATGAGCTGCAACACCCACATCAGACGGGCTGGAGAGGAGTCTTTGTTTTTTCAGATGCACATCTATGATCTCTTTTCTCTGTTTTACTAGGCTCTGCAAGACTCAGCAGCTGGGCAGCATTTCGAAAGAAAATCTGCATCTATAGGACTGAAGAAAGCAACTTTCTGTTACCAACACAGTCTAGACTTGTTCAATAGCTCACAGAAAGTGTGATCATCAGCACTGATAGGCAAGATAGATAACAGAAACAGCTGACCTTTCACTTGATTAATTCATTCCCCAAATTTGCATGATGGGGACAACTGCCTCTTACTTGAGACTCCTTGTCATGTGGACCTCTGGGAACTTTACTAAATAAACCGGCAAATAATTGCTATCCACAATATTTTGTAAGATTAATTTTGGATAACAGCTGCTGCAGGCCAGTTAAAACTGGGGAAAATCACTTATTTCTATCATTGCATTACCAAAAGCAAGCATAGAAAGAAAAATAACAGTAGGCATACACAAGATGACCTTTTTGGAAAGAGGACTGGTCTCAAATCAGGACACAGGAACATGCAGACAACCCAGAGAGGGTTATATTAACTTTAAAAGACCTTGCTTACCAATTTAGGCAAATATGCAGCAATTTCCTTGTTGCTCTGTTATGTTAAACAATTCTTTGAATATGAGCATGTGAGTTAATACTGAGTTTTCTGGGAATGTGCTGCTAGACTTGACACTAAACATATCCTACTGGGTAGCCAGGGCATATCAGGCTGTGGGCTTCTCAGACCTCATAAAGTAAACAAGGTTAAGGCTGGTCAGTACATGTCTGGGGCATCTCCAAGGAAAATCCAGGGTGCTATCAAAAGCAGTGTAGCTAAATCAGTTGCTGGCACTCTTCCCTCTGAGTCAGTTCTGAAGTGATATCCCGATATGCTTTGGGGACACTATTTTTGGTAGAGGTGCTGGCTTGTAGACAGGATATAAAACTGAGGTCTTGACCTCCCAGGATTATTAAAGAGCCCATGAAAAACAGTGCAAACTCCCGTGTCTGGAACAGATAAAAGCTGAATCTTTGTATTTTTCCCACCATAACCTTCTTTCCTATCTCTAATAAAGTCCATGGTCTTCCTGCATGCAGGTGCCTCATCCTTGAAGGTGGTGCACGTCAACTGGAAGCAGAGGGAACATCTCAGACACAGCTCATAATTTGCAAAACATGCTGAGTGCTAGGATTTCTGATACCCAGTGTTTCAGTTTAGTTACAATAAAATATCAGGGAAAATGAATAAGCTTGAAACACGATGCTCACGAGGTCAGTGCCAAGCTCTGGGGGAGGCTGGGAAGGCTCCAGCCAGGAGTGGGGCACTTTCCTAGGAAAAGTGCACACATGGAGCAGGGCTGACAGAGTCCAGAAGCAGCTCTGCTGTGCAGGGCTCCTCCAGCCAAGATAAGGCTGTGGGGAAATGGGATGCCTTGCAGAGGGGGAGGGTGAACCCTTTGGGCTTCAAAAGCCTCTCGCTGTCACAGTGAAATGAAGTGACAAAACACAAATCCTGGTGACAACCTGGGCTTGTCCACCCTGGCTGCAGGTACCAGCCAGTCCCTGCTCCCTGCACAGCTAGTGAGATGCCAAAGCCTCTGCTCAAGCACTTCAGCAAGTGAACTGATTCGCAAATGTGCTGAGCACTCAGCAGCTCCTCTTGACTTCTGAGTCCTCTTAACTTTGCCCTTCTCTCAAAATTCCCACCAGCTGTCAGGGAAGGAAGCTCAGGAGAAATTTTTTCTTCAACGTTTTTCTCTCTGCCTCTCTCCAGGGCATATAGCTCTCATCTTGCACTCGCCGTGCTTTCCTTGTATCATCACTTTTTTGAATGCAAAGCCAATTTAGTAGCTAGTGCCTTTCCAAAAGAGGAAATAAACCAGGAAAATCCTCTGAGAAACTCTGTGTTCTCACTCAAAATCATGGATTTTCTGCTAGGTTTGTGCCAGTTAGATTCTAGCCCTAGAATGACTTGAATTACATCCCCAGCCAGCACACAAATATTTCTGCTGTTTAGGAGCAGAACCATTTTATGGTTCTCTTCCTAATGCCCTAAAGAGACTGGTTGCACCCTAAGGTTTTAAAGGGGCACAGAGCTGATGGTTTCACCTGGAGCAGTGGTGATTGGTGATAATGTGATATTATCTCCATGGTAGCTGGAGAAAAGATCACAGAATGGTTTGGGTTGGAAGGGACCTTAAAGATCATCCATTTCCATCCTGCCATGGGCAGGGACACCTTCCACAACACTTCCAAGTTGCTCCATCCTGGCCTTGGACACTTCCAGGGATGAGGCAGCCACAGCTTCTCTGTGCCAGGACCTCCCCACCCTCACGGGGAAGAATTTTTTATATCCCTAAAAAAATCCCTACAGGCCTGGCTTTGGAGCAGTGTCTCTTCAAGACCCTGTCCACAGTCCTCCCTTGGACTATCTGGATTATGTCATAGCAAAATACAATCAATGCACCTTTGATCAATGGAACAGGGTGGTGACAGGTGCTCTTAATTTGGTGTTGTTAGTGAGTATTGACAAGCCTGTAATGATCATGCTGCAGTGTGTCACTCACACTGGGGGCATTAGCATTCTTTAAAGGTCAAAACCCAAACCCCTCTAGAAGCCAGAATTCCATACAGCTAATGGAAAATGTGGGCCTGGGGAAGTCAGGATGTGTGAGGTTATCAGGGCTGAAGTTGGCACAGTTGTTGGCATTATTTGACTTATGACTTCATATAAGACTTCAGCAACTTCGAATTCAGAGAATACCCTGAGCTGGAAGGAATCCACACAGATCATCAAAGTCCAACTTCTGGCCCTGCACTGGACAGCCCCAGAATCTCACACATACATGGATGTACACGTGACACGGATGAACACAATGTGGAAAAACAGCATCAGAAAATTTTCAGGTTTATGTGCACAGATTAGGTATTTTCCAGAGGTCTGGTTCAATACAGCCCTTGGATCCTCCAAGGGATCCATGGGAGGCTGATTTCTGGTGCATTTATCTACACTCTGTCCATTTTCAGCTGGGTACCAGATGAGTTTATCAACTTGCACAGGCAAGTTTGCAGAATAAAATTATTTATCATCTCACTTTAAAATTCTGCTGGTTTATTCTCACCCATTAAAAGAAGTGGCACATAAATGCTGTCCACTGGCAAGAAGTGGGGAGAAGAAAATCCTAATTTTCAAGATGCTGTTTCTGAATTGAGGAAGGGAACAGTAAGAATCAAAGAAAAAAATAACTTGGGTTGCAGAAACCACACAAATCAGACACAACATGATACTTACTTTGTGAGACTCTTACTAGCTCAGTCACACTGAAAACACCTGATGTGACAAAACTGTCCTGGAAGCCCAAATGTCCTACAAAACAAACAGAGGGAGAGAACTGCGATTAGCTTCAAGCATTTAATGACAGTATTCTCAAATACTTTACTTTCATTTAGACTTAAAATGTGACATCTAATTTCCCACTTAGCAGTAATTATTGTTTATGTAGGTGGGTAACCAGTCATACAGCTATGTAGGCTGCTTTGTGGTTTCTATCTAGAGGTTAGGAAAGCTAACATGACACATCAGCAGGGAGATTTTTACATGTTAAAGCATCTCAACAGGAAATCTGAAACAAAAGAGGACTATTTTAATAACCGGTTACCTTGGATGACCCCTAATGACTTCACAACTGAAATGAAAATACTGTACCTAGGAAACAGACAGGACAGCTAAGTTCCATAATCGTTTTAAACATTATTCTCTAAAGAAACATCTGATCAGGATTATCTACCCATTCATTCAAACCAAACAAGATTTAAAGATGTATTCTTCATTTTTCTAAGGTTACACTAGGGGGATCTTAGATGAGCAGATGGTTTAAAAAAAATAAATTAAGGCCTTTTCTACTAAAAAAAAAATTTTTTTTACGTTTTAAAACTAGGTTTTAAAAGGAAAAGTAAATCTCTGCATAAGAAAAAGTATTAGCTTGGTGGACTGTCTGTAGGAAGCAGGGCTGAGGCATCCACGCTCACCTCCCTGGTGCAAGGAATGCCTCTAAAATGTGATGGCGCTTTACATAACAGTATTTCCCTTCTTCTCTGCAAACATGCCTACCACCAAATGTTCATTTAATTTTCACGGGTATGCTCTGTGACAAAGGAGCAGCCCGGGCTGCAGCCCCGGCCGGGCTCCGGCGGGACCTCAGTGAGAGGGAAGGGCTGTGCCCGGCCAGGCTGAGCTCCTGCTTTGGAAATCAGGCTCACAGGAGAAATCGCAGGATCAAGGGATTATTAAAAGAACTGTAAAGTCCTGCTTGCCCACAGGATAAGTGGCATACCTTTTTAGGTTGTCCTACTTAGAGTCACCGATGCCGGTGCACGCACACATTTATTATTGAATGTTTTGCAGGGGCACCATCTGCTCCGTCGTTAATTGTTTGTCAGGCTCACTACGATTTCCCTGCATTCCATATATTCTCCTGCACCCCATGCTCATGCTGGGAATACCTGGGCACCTTTCTCTAATGGTCAGAGCAGGAGGACTAATGCCAGCTGCACATTTGTACTCTTGGCTTTCCTTTTGGGGTTTGTTTGAACAAATTCAGAATATCCCACTGCCATTTCTACTTGCGGAACAGGGTGCAGAAAGAAAACACCTTCTGTACGAGTCTACAGAGGCTGGAATGTCAGGCAGTGTGTCAGGGAAAGGCTTGGGAGAGATCTGGAGGGAGGTGAGCCTTTCACCTCCAGCCAAGATTTGATGGAATTCTGCTCCTACACAGAAGAAGTTCCCTGTTTTGCAAGGAGCCCACGGTGCCAGATGAACGCAGTCTCTAAGCTAACAGACTTGAGACAAGTTTCTGCATCAGGCATGTTTTTATACTCCAGCAATAATGATGAGTTTTCAAACTGTGTATATGTATATCTTTGGGCATCCTTGTGTATGTGTGTATACATATGTATTATGTACACAAACATATAAATATACACAAATCTGTCATGCTCCAGCTGTAGATAAATGTACTATAAAATATTGAAATTGATGCTGAAATTCAACACAAACAAATTCCTCAATCTGCAAACAAGGTTTTTATTTACATCAAGAGAATAAATTTTTCCCTACTTCAAATGAAAAAAAAATGTTCTTACAAGCTTTTATTTTTCCTTATTTTCAATTTAGAAATAGCTCCCAGATAGCTGTAAGCGCTTTTGCCTGATCTGCTTTGTATTTTCCCACAATAAAGGTGATGACTACCTCATTCTGCTTTTCAGAAACGGTTGCTGCCCATACACAACGTTTGTTCATTGCCGATTTCCCAAGTATTTTTAATATGAAGATCTACTTTTCATATGCTGCAGCAGACCTGCCTATTGAATTAAATGATCTGTGAATTAAAAATAATTCTCTTAGGTCTTCACTGAAACCACTCATGTGCCTAAAATTAAGCATATGCTTAAGTGCCTTGCTGGATCGGGGCCAGGACGCTTACTACTCCGCAGAGCCCTTCAGAGGGAAGCCAGTCCATGCTATGTAACTTCTCACACTGTGCTCATCATGGCAGCATCTGAGCAACTTCCAGAAGTGCATCCAGCAATGCCACGAACATCTGCCACGTGTTGTTTTTTCCTGCAGCACACCACACTGGCTCTGCTCTGGTGTCCACTCCGACCTGCATTTCCCAGGCAGCTTCCCGCCCGCACGGAGAGTGAAGGTGAAATATAAATATGGAAGGGAAAAAAAAAAACCCAACCAACCCTGAATCACAGTCACTATAGGATATTTGGCTGATTTTTTAAAGGGAAAGCCCAGAGCCCTTTGTGATTATCTAGTAAAAATATGATTGTGGCAAGGTAAATCATGCTACTTCACACAGAGGTGAAACCAGAAATGAAAGTGCCATTTTAAATATATTCTAACTCTCAGGGCATGAGAGAAGATGAGTAAGTTATCTTGGGCATACTGACTTCAGTATTCCTATCTTGGGTACACTTGAAATGTCCACTTACTCCAGCAGGAACACTCCTTATTGGGAATACATGTAATAGTAATCATTAAACAAAAGCACGCAATGAGCATGGTTAGATTTTCATCCTTCAATACCAAAAATAAACATTTCACAAATGAAAGGTGAATTTCACAACTCTCCAATTTGATATTTACTTATAAACATTAGGAAATCAGGGGCTTGCCTTGCCAATCATTAAGAATACCTTGATACCCACAAAAGCCTTGCCCTTGGCTTAGAGCTGGATCATGAATGTATTTTGAGGTATGGTTGGTCTGTGAATTTGCAGTTCAGTAGAACCCCATGGAATTTTTAAAGGTTTGCCTGGATGGCTCAGACTACAAAATCCAGGCCTAAGACTGTTATTTTTGCTGAGCTGGGATAACAGTGAGAGAAGGAAACGAGGGAAATAGTATGAAGAACTTATATGTGTAAAATAAGAATTACTGCAAGGGAAATAATATGAAGAACTTATATGTGTAAAATAAGAATTACTGGGAAACAGCAGCACTGAGAAAAGATGTGAAGCTAACATTATTAACAGGGGTCAATATGCAAAAAATCTATCAGTTTGGCTGATCTACTTAATTCTGAATGAGGAAAAAAACAGGTAAAGTCAAGCAATTACATATGCAGATGTTAGCATTAACAAGCTCCTGCACTGAAAAGATGATTAAACATCCTGAAAGCTCTTTACTGTGATAATTTTGCTCAGTGTCCAAGAGGTGGGACACTGAGACTGCTGTGTGTGACAGGTTATGTCTGCAGCTTTGTGCAGCAGTCACAGTTTGGTAGTAAAGCAGGTGCTCAAAATGAGCCTCGCAGAGTTCATTCACTGCAATTTTGGGTACAAATTAAGACGTGGCTGGCCAGGGCAGGCCCTGACTCAGCAGAGCTGTTGGAGCACGTGCTTCACTTCCAGCACATGCCTGCCCAAAGCACGTGCTCACTGCCCTGCCAAACAAAGATGGACTGACAACCTCCAGGAGGAATTAAAATAAATGGTTTAATCATTCCTCCAGGCAAGTCTAGGGAAAGGTAGGACTTGGCTCATCACCTAAGATCTCACTTCAGCCCACTAGGATGATCATCTTTTTCTAAGAGGGGAAAACACCCAGGATAATAAGACCAAACTGAATAAAGAAGATCAGGATAGTAACTAATAAATCATTGTGCACAACAGCACAATGTTATTGTACCAGGTACCACATGGAAAACATTTTTCCATAACTTGATCGCTGCTTTAATTGGGGAGAAAATTCCCAATGCTATTTACATATTCTTCTTTTGGATCCCAGCAAAGAAGCCAGAAGAAAAGGCTTCAGTTGCTGGAGTCTAATTCTGATCTCTCTCAAAGAAGTTTTAAACAAATCTTTCTACACTGATCAAATAGAGTTTCACCTCATTTTCTCCTAATTTACACTGGCAGAGGAGAAATCAGGATTAGGACTTGTTGTCTAGTGCTATTTGTTTTGAATTATTAAGCAAACATTCCTATTTCAATGAGTAAACGTGTACAAAGGCAACTAACCTTTGTCCTGAAATGGAGTTTACAGGGAGAGTATTGTCTGCTTTCCAATTAATGCAGTAAAAAGGAGTCTCAGACGTTGAGCTACCAATCAAGAGCTTATGTTGTAGCTTGAGAAAATCATGACTGATGCAATTACTTTTATGTAGAAAGTCTGAATATAGTCTATAGGTTAAAGTTCATTGGGTTATTGTTCCTTAATTGAATATCTGAAGATGTTTTCAAGGTGCTCAAGGTATTATTGTTATTTAATTAGCAGGCTTCCTTGCATAATCCAACAGTATTATTTTTGCTAGAAAATAGCTAGATTGCAGTATAAATATACAAGGTATTTTCTAAACAGAGATACAGCTGGTTTCCTAAAAGCCAAGCTTAAATAAAACCAGGAGAGAGTTACTCCTTTGATGATAAAGAAGTCCAAATCCAGTTATTTTTTTTTCCACTACAATCTGAGTGACAATGTATTAAGCTTCAGAGAACAGCTTTTTGGGCGACTTTGATTTCTTTTCAGTGTTTTGAAATTACAAAAGTCCCCCAAACTAGCACTGAGCCCATTTCTAAGACTTTTTTCACGTTCAGCATCTCACTATACGTAGCCATCTTAAAACCTTAAAATAGTAATAATCAATTAGGGTCTCAAGCCTATTATCTTAACCAAATGCCTGATTAAAAGAAAAGCCCTCTCTGCTCGAAGTGCAACTTGATTCCTTTTGGTTTTATCCTCTATCTAGATAATCCCATGTTTCACAAACAATGCAGAGCAATAATGTGGATGAGAAAATTGCTGTCTGTATCACACAGCACACGCAGGCCTGGAGAGAGGGGATGTTATCAGAG